ACGATAGCTGCGAATATCTTGGAGGTGACGCATTTCGAGCAGTAATACAGTTTTCTGACCTTCCATTGAAAAGGAACTTTGCACTCTGACAGGTGTCGTAGAGAGCCGGGACAGTGTGTTTATGAAGTCTTTCTGAAGGCTCTTGAAATGTTGAGACCTTATACTGTCCGAAGGAGATATTGCCCTACTCTTAACCAGCGAAAGAGCACGTTGGGTTTCGGAAAGGAGAACCGGTGGAAAAATTTGTCAATTATTCTTTATTTTTTTAGGGCAGTAGGTCGCAAATATTGGAGAGCTCTGAGCAGTAACGGCGAATGATTTTCTCCATCGCCGTTCTGGAACCTGTAGTGCTCTGCTTGAGCGTTGGAGTGCAACAAACTTGGTTCTGCAATTGGCGAAGTTTTGCTAAGCTTTGTGAATGCTTTTTCTAACCTCTGCATCGTCAACTAAGCATGCTGCTGTTCTGTCTTTAAGATCTTTTCTTACTACCTGCCTACATTGTTTTGCAAGTTCGGGCGTGAGTTGGATCTTGCCTGTAGCTATGCGAATCCGCGCTGGTGTATCAGCTGAAGTGTTCCTGAAGTCAGACATCGCTTGCAGATTTTGGAATTTTCTGCTTTCATAGCGCTAGTATTCCTGGTATGGTACTTTTAGACCATCGTTTTTCAATTTAGCGGCTTTTTTTTTCCTTATCTGTGAGAAATTCAATTCTGCATGAAGGAGTTAATGGTCTGATCCGGCTTGGAATTTTGGGACAACAGCAAACTGGATTAAACAAAACCTTGACTTCTTATAGTGTGGTTTATTTCGTTATGATGCTCACCTTTGCGAGTCTCCAACTTCCATCGTTGAGAGTGGAGCTTGTGAAATTGCTAGTTACCATGGATGGTCTTGGTCGCCATGATAAACTCAGAGAGCCGCTCACTCTGCTCGTTCCATTTTAATCCATGGGTCCCAATGTGACGCTCTTCACACGTTTTCCTTGGTCCCAGTCATAGCGTTGAAATCTCCAATAACGAATGACCTTGAAGAATGTATGGTCTTCTCCGTAAAACTTCTCCAAGTCGATATAAAACGTTTCGACTTCTTCTTCGTCATAGCTTGATGTCGGCGCGTAAACCATGAGGATTGTCAAAGCCGGTATTGATCCACATCTCCTTAACCGTAAACGACCGATTGATGTTACTACTTGTTCAAATGAATCGATTTTCATGCTCGAAAAGTGTTGAAATACCCATGCAGCCCAATCCTCTACTATCGCCCGTTACAGGGAACAATTGGAAATAGCTGCCACCAAAACTTTAAAACCACTGACTATTTATTAGCTTTTTCGAATCAGTCGTAGAGCAATCAGAAAACCTCCATAAAATAAGGAAAGTTATTTTTTTTTTAGTTTCGAAGTTTCGAAGACGTCATGTGATGGGCAAAACGTGATGTCAGAGCACCCGAAGTAACATGTGAATCGCTGTTTTCTAGTAATTACACCGCTGAACATGAAGTAACATGTCGGTCAAGTCGAGTTTCCTTCGTTTATCATGAGTTTCCTTGTTTCATCCACCTTCTTTCATTAAATCTGTTTCCTTCATACGTCTCATTATCACCTTTCACCGAAACCATTCCGGAGGTCCCGTTGTGGACATGAACCCATTACTTCCAGGTACCTAGTGCTTTAATTCCTTTGCTGTTTTCTTTGCTCCACAGCAAATTTTCTTGCAAGGCGTTTATTTGTAACAGCAGAATAATTGTACAAATAGTGATCGAAACCCGTAAAACTCCGACTGTTGTTGTTGGTATTGTTAGAAATGTCAACAAGTTTCAACGTAAACTATGCCTATCGATCTGCGTTATAGAGCAGTCCGGTCCCTTCTTTGGTAGCTTTTATAAAATTGTAGCCAAGAGACGAAAGCTGGTGATATCCGATCTAGCGCTGTCTCTGTCCGATTGGAATATGCCACTGTTATCAAAGCCATACAAGCACTCATTACAATCTGTCGTTAAAGAAACTCTTTTTAGGTGGCTCCATTGAATACGGATTGCGTGAAAGTGTCGATATTCTCAATGGCAGTCACTCAACTCCATATACATCAGGTAGTCCGATTTTTTAAGTGTTACGCCAGTTAAACCGAAATAACCACTACTCCCGTTGAGACGAAGCTTTCATATCAATCAAACTACTATCGACTTGAGCGATTCTTATCATTATCCATGTTTTCAGGCAAAAATCACAACTTTTTCCCTAAATGCGATGTAGTGAGGTGGTTCATGTATTTTAAAGATCAGCTGCCTGTGCTCGTCGTGTCGTCTCTTCACAGTTTAACACGTGTCTGTCTCACAATCATTTCAACCGAAGAGTGTTCAGTAGTTCGAAGCCTAGTGATCGCTTTCATGGGGTCATCTACTGAACCCTCTGGTTTGTCTCATATTGAAAAACACGGTTTAGAGCTTTGTCAACCACCAAAAATGGGAATGCTAAACAATACTTTTCACATACTGTTCTGGACTGTCGCTGTTGCGAACTAACTGACGGCGCAGGTGTGGGAAGTCAATAACCACTACGTAACTTTCAAAACCACTTTTTCTAAGGCATCTTTTAATGGTGTAATTTATACTGCTCAATATAAAGGGTAGACATGAAAAAAACACTCATCAAAAACATGTACCGAATAGCTAAAGCTGCGTCCACAGAAGAAGAAGGATGAAGGAGATCGCTAAACTTGGTACAAAAACTTGCCACTTCTAATGGCTACGAAGCAGAAACCACTCAGGTTAGACCAAAAGGGAGCGTTATTCCCTCAACAGTGTTTCAAACATAAGCAAGATTTCCTTCAAGCTACTCTTCATATCAAGCGAGATGAGTTACGCCATTAAGAGATGCCTAAGAAAAAGTGGTCCTGAAAGCTATGTGGCGATTACTGACCTCTTACCTAATACCCTATGCTGTCTATTAACTCACAACCGTCTCTATGATCGCTTGTGCAGCTCATAAAATTGTGTAATCTGTCCTAACGGAAGAGACGGTAATTGCATGAGCTCTGCTGCAATGTTTCATCCTGTTTTACCACAAGGAGCATTAACTTTCTCAGTAAAGGACTGGATGATGATAACCACCGATCGAGTTTAGCCGTTACATGGAATGCAGCAGAGTATATGCTGGCTGATATGTTCCCTCAGGGAGAAATTCTGCGTGTGAAATACACGGAAGCGTTAGAATGAGACTGATTCGACAACGAGGAACTGATAGAAATAGAGATTATTGCCATGGAAAAACACACATATGTAGATGCCCATACAGAGCGAGTGTGTTGCCACTATAGCTATGAGAGTGACGTTAATGTATGAGAACATGAATGAATACGTTGGCATGAGTAACAAAGGCGCGAGTAGAGCAGCGTATGAAACAGGAAGCCAATGACGCTAAATCGAAAGCTTTAATTCTTTCAAAGATGGCTCTTCTATCGCTGCTCTCCACCTTCATCAACAAAGATTCGGATTTAGTCGCCGTTGTCTCCGAGCTATAAGCAAGCCATAATTTATTACCCTAACCAATCCTCCGTGGCGCAGTGGTCGGAGGTGCCCTGCAACGCACATGTGGGATCGGTCCTTGCGCCCTTGGCCCACCAAGCCTTCCATCTCTCCTGGGTCGGCAAATTGGTTCTAGACTTGTCTGGCAGGATAGCACCACTGGCTCGATACATAGGCTGGACACCGCGAGTCATTTTAAAGGCGAGATATGCATCCAATCACCTCCAAACGATGCTTAATGAAGTCGAATGCATGGCGCATCCCTTAGAGATTGATCAACGCCGGGAGCTGTATCCTTTATTTATTTTAACCAAGCCTCCACTATCATAATGCGGACAGATGAAATGAGACTACGATACTTACAGTAGATTTCCGTTCCTTTTTTGATGAGCCATTTTAAGTAAGAGAGTTTGCATGAACTGTGACTGCGCAGCGATTGCAGTTAACCATATCTGAAAATCATTTTGAGCAAAATTCCTTATCAGCACCTGATAGTAGACATTTTCGCAAACTCGGAAATCGAATTTTAGCACAATACTGTGCAAAAATAAAACATTTTTTAGTAGTAGATATTCTTGCCCTAATGAAAAAAAATTGATAGAATTGCAAACAGCGTTACCAACCTCGTTCCCCTACATACTATTAGTCAACAGTCTGAGGAGTAACAGTTTTTTTGTAGCGTTAACTTCTTATTCACTGGGTATTACAATTTTTCAAGGCAGGTTATCATGTGTGATTCAACCACAATGATGCTGAGATATTTGCAAAACTTCGGACCGCAGATGTCCGCGGTGAGGAACGAACGCGCCATTATCCTTTCCGGGCCTAACGCGTTCCCCGTTACATCCCGTTGATGGGTGGTTGCTCATGGTACTAATTGATAGAATTAGCTGAAGAACAGCAATAGGAAAGACCCGCATGGTGTAGTGGTGAACGCGTTAACCCCCAACGGCGCAATGGAGCGCCCGTTCCCCGCCGTGGACACCTGCGGCCTGCAGTTTTGCAAATATTTCAGCATCATTGTGGTTGAGTTTTTTGTAGTCACTACGTAGTTATTTACTCTCTTTGCTACCATACATTCACTTTTCACATCGTAGTGTGAGCTAGGCGAGAAACACTTAGATTCTTCCTTAGAGTTATTGTTTCAGTTCTTTCCAATAATGAACAGTTTCAAAGCTTTGGCGGATCAAAACAACACTCATCGAAGTAAGTTTTCCTCAAAAAAACTTTGTTGAAGTCGCAATTTCTAGTCAAAATTCCTCTTAAAGTACAAATTCACCTATGAAACAACATTCAGGGCAAAGTCTAAATTTTACTACAAGTGATTTTCGAACTAATCGGAATAAGTATTGCCCTGTTGCTGTAAAATAAAGCATGCAAACTATAACTTTGGCTTAGTATTAGATATCGCAAATTTGGAAGGCCACTTCGATTTTTTATGACTAATAAATTTGGAGTGGAGCATTTTTGTTCTTCAGCTACTCCGCAACTAATCTATACGCTCCAAACTGTCCAACCATGATGACGGCACCAACCACTCCCTTGCCTCCACCAGCTGTTCTGCCCATTCCTCCACGTCCGAGAGTGAGTCGAAGTGTTTCAGTGTAGTTGAACATTGTTTGGCATGAAGCCTAGCACTTTTACTAGCAGGCAATCCGATCCTACTTGTGCAGTTTTAGCTCAAGTGCAACAAAGTGCTGTTCGGAAATGAGTATATGTAATAGCATTGTCACCACCTTTAGCATCGTAAACCTAAACTCGACGTTTGCTAAAACAATCGACTTGTTAGTCAATTAAGTGGAAGTTTACGATTCCTCTCTAACCATCATTGGCTTACAACTAGTGGATATTCTTTATCTGCACGTAACTCAAACGAACTGATTGAATAACGGTCACTTGCAACAAACATAAGTTCATAGTTACAAGTCTGTCAATGGAAAAATTGGATGGCCTCATTTTTAGGCCGTCATGAACAAAAACATTGAATGTGCGAACTGCGGAACTAAAACCACAAGCGCATGGAGGCGAAATAAAGATGGGGAAAGCGAATGCAAGTAAGTACAGAATTGACGACAAATATTCAATTTAGCATATTATTACAAGTTAAATACTACTGGACCACTTTTATTTCAAAAGCAGCTTTTCGATTGATAAAAGTCTTTCGTTTTCGCACATTATTGATTGAGACTCGGTAAGAATCGGTCCCAAAAAGAATGCGTGAAGTTGACAGCCGTGAATTCACTGCTTTAAACTGCACTTGTCAAGTGAAAAAAATACTTCTGCAATATATTTACTGTGTAAATCATTCTAACATGGTTATTTCTCATTTTTCACCTGTCTCATAACCAGCTCTTAAAATTTCAGCGCCTGTAATTTATTCTTCCGAAAGAACGGTCGAAAGCGTCCGGCCTCAATGCGTTGTGACACAATCCCTCGACGATATCGCCACTCACGTTGTAACTTGCGTGAGGAGGAAACCGAGTCCAATCCGATGAACCTTGTACAATACAAGAAGACGTCTTCAAATTCCTTCATCCATCAACACAACACTTCTCAGCCATCTGATCATAATCAATCAACTTCAGTGCAGGGTTTTTTCGTACCATCGAACGATTCTTGTGCAGAATTCGAACTAATGTCCATTCCGTCTAACGCTCACCGCACCACTCAAAACCCAATGGATCCAACGGTGTTGAGCTACACCACTGAACGGACTCCGTTCAGCGCCATCAATATAGAACAAAAAACAAGTCCACCAGAAGTTAACTATCAACTTAGTTTCACAAGGCGTTCTCTCAGCTCTTTCTTAGAAACTCGTCCATTCCATAACCATGTGCTGTCTGCAGCTCCGAATCCAGCCGCGAATGTGATGGAACATGAACCGGTAAACATGGAGTTTGCTTTAACCGAACACACAACGGAAGACCATCAGAAGCAGCCGTACAGAAGTTTCTTCTATCCCAAACAGCAGGAACTAGTAGAGAGAAATATGTTTAACGAATACCAGTTCAACGATCAATACAGTGAGGCACATTCAATCATAAATGAAGAGTGCCTAAGCAGTAGCTTTCTGAACTACTCGTCCGCTGCCGATGAATATTCGTTTCAATTTGACGCAGTGAATGCAGGCGCTTTCGGAAATGCTAGGAACGAATCGTTCTCCCTGGTTCAGGATGACTATAATGAAGAGTCCGGTGAGGGAGCTCCTGTTTTTCTATCACTTTAATAACTTTCCAGGAGCTTCGTCCGTTTTATTATTATTCTTTCTAATGCTTAATTCTCTATAAATTTAAGATGTAGTAAACCTTTTTTCTGCTTTTTTAACAGTCCAATAGGCCATCAGTCCAAAATAGGAGAAGAGGATGGTCAGTTTCCATATATCTTAAAGACTTAACACATTTTCCAGTTGTTTGAATCTTTCAGGCGACTGGCTTCCTATATCATAATGTCTACTAGTACTGAATATGAAAGGATGTAGGATTTACAAGTAGTTTACATAATCTATATATATATATATATATATATATATATATATATATATAGAGAGAGAGAGAGAGAGAGAGACAGAGAGAGACAGCTATACCGATATAGAGCTATCTAAGCCGATGTATCGAGCCAGTGCTGCTATCCTCCCTGACAAATCTGATACCAATCTGCCGACCTCAAAGGGTTAGAAAGCTTGGTGGGCCATGGGGACGGGGATCGATCCCACGTTTGTGTTGCAGGGCGCCTCCGACCACTACGCCACATGCGCCCATGCACCCATACATACATGTATTTACATCTGTAGCACTGCTGCTATACATCCTCACAATGAGAAATTGTCTCACAATAGAACATGTATTTGTACACACTCATGCACACCCATACGCACACCACACACACACACAACACACACACATACACACACACACACGCACACACACACACATGCACACACACAAACACACACACATCTCTTCATCACATGAAAGCATGAACTTTGAACTGGGAAATAATAGTTCTCCATTCTCGACGAGATCTCGCCTGTTCAACTGTTTTTTTTTTCGAAATATAACCTTTGACGCAAAAAAGTGGAAGGTACATATGTTATGGAGTTCAGGAAATACCGGAATTTTATCCTAGAAAAACAGGAGCTTTAATTTCGTAGGCAAAGATTATCAGATCTTCTGACTATAATTGACAAAATTCATTAGGAATTGACAGATTTCGACTTGATCTTGGTAACGGCCATTATTTTCACGCCGAATGACCCATATAGAGGCCACAACGTCGGATAGATATTAACCTGTACCATGTGGAAAAACAAAACCAAAAAGACATTCAGTATGAAGCCAACTTGGGAAATTTTATTACTGTCGTAGGCCAACACAAAGCAATTCAGCAGTATTAAAAACTGCATTTGATATAAGGTATCCTTCTCCTGTTTTATCGACGCAATCAATCTAACGAGTTGCATTTGGTCCTTTCAATTTGTACTGCAAAGTTACCTATTCGACTGATGCTCCATATTGCAAGTGTTTTCTCAAATAAGTTGTCTACTCGTCTTGGAGAAGGAGTAGAGCTTGCTGTCATATTTTTTAAAAGCTGATTCCAAGGTCGTATGCTAGTCGGCGAGTTAGGTCCACATGACACAGAAGGACATTCACTAACACGCGCATGACTAGATATAATGCAAGCGAACCATTAAGATGATTAGGCTGGATTAGAGTTATCGAGCTTATCCACTATCAGCGACCACTGTTATCTTACGTTTATCTGCCATCCGGGGATTTACCATGTGCTACAACAAGATAGCACTTGGTACTCTAGAAAAATTCGTGCGACGTTTGCATAGAAAGAAATCATGAGATTAAAGAGGTAAGCGTAAAGCTTCCGATGTTGATTATTCAGTAAAGGATGACCCTTGCATATGACTCCACGCATATCATCGCAGAGGAGATTGAATACGTATCTGAACTATACAATATGTGATGGTGGCCTACCGATGTATCGATGTGGTGCTACTATCCACCCAGCAGGTCTGGTACTAAATTGTTGACTTCAAAGGAATGGAAACATGAACCTGGAGAGTAGGATTATGCCTACGGCCACTCCATCTTGTACTGCATGGAATATGTTATCACTGAACGCTCCCTTTAACCACCTGTCCGATTTAGGATAATGATTCCCCAGACTTTGAAAACGTTCTTTCGCACATCAAACGTTATTGTGCGTTGTAATTTATCTATTTGTTTATCTGTGCTTACGTTAATTTATTTGTTTAACGAGCAATGTGGTTCCACTTTGTAGTGATTATGACTAGTTTTCCCCGCACGCTGTGAACTGATATCAAGTAATGCTTTTGAAAAAGCCAGAAAATTGCACCAAACAATGATATAACTACAAATTTTCGCTAGAATTCAGACACTTTAGCGAATGAAGAACTCGTCGTACCCGCCTGAGTGAATCCTTCTGAAGAACCAATAGCTACCGAAGCACAATCTTACTCAATGCATCACAACTCATTGTCCAGCGTAAAAAAACTGGATCTGACGGGTACACCTAAGGCATTGTTTTGATAAGATTTTCCCAGGAAAAAACAAAGTAATGAAAAATTTCAATAACATCGCGATTATTGTCTAGAGAATTGTCTAGAGAAAAGAGAAAAAACTCCACTTCATTATCGATGATCTTATAACGATGTATGAGTTTCACTTTTGCATAAAACCTTCTCCAAACACAGCGGACACTAGACGATATGAACTAGCCAATAGTCGGTCGGACCGCTAGCAACGGACCATAATTAATTCATTTCCACCCTAATAGGCTGTAAAAATTGTAAACCGGATTTCTATCTAGGCGGAAAAATTAGATACAAAAAACAGGAAGAATATATTCTTAGAATTTAGCAAATCAGTCTTAAATTTATTAATATTGTCTGTGGATCTTCCTCATAGGGAGGTCTCGAACCGGTCAGTCGTTAAGCCACACCAGCGTACCAAGTGACGAATAATGGGCTAAACGTGTAGTAAACACAGGCAATGTAATTGTCCTGCAAAGTAGGTGAGTTCAAGCGGTGTGCTCGCTTTTCCTTCAGCGCCATAATGACTTATACCGTCAATATGAACGCAAGTATATACACATCTAGGCGTGTGGATACGTTTGCACATAGCAACGTTGTATCTTGCACATCAGTTTCACCAAGAGAAGTCAAATGAAGAGCAAGTGATAAGCGGATTGTGACCATCCAAAGTAAGCTGTATATCTATTCTGGTAGAAAAAATAGAACCTATCTGTGACTACGGCAAGCATTGTAAATGCTCGGCAGATTGCCCCTGATTTTAGTTTCTATGATAGCTTAAAATGACATAATATATATTGGCTTTTGAATGTCAAATCCTATGCCGCTTAACTTCTCTAAATGAGTCGGCACTTTGTCAAAACTAATATTACTGGGCAGATCTTATATAAAAAATCATCTAAACCATTTTCATAAAAATTCATCCCGACTTTTTTAGCACTTGGATTATTTTTGACACATACAAACAATACAGTTATAAATTACTATAATTTGAAAAAGCACTGCAAGCAAACCTACTTTCTGCTCGGGGTCCTCCGACAAAATTGGCACCGCAGCTTCGGAATTGTCTTGTGCCACACACTTCCTAACTTGCGAAGACTATCTACACATAATGTCAGTAATCTGTCAAATAGAATAGATAATTAGATGCAGGTTAATGATATCAACTGTGAATACGTGGTCAAACACACATTTTCAAATCCTGGCGATTTCTTAGCCATGCTAAGCGCACCCATCTGCTGCGAAGTGATAAGTGGTAACGCGGTGGGAGAGGACTGATGAAAAGTCTTTGACGATAACAATTCGCTACAACCAAGTAGTATATCCCATTGCACATCGTAGGAGAGCTCACTAACAACCGATCGTAGAGAAATCCTCGTAAGAAACAATGCCAACACCATTTTGTCAGTATGCTACATAGTGCGCGAGACACGACGATACACAGCTTGGAAATTATGATCCAAACAAAAGGCAATACGCAGACAGACAGAACGAAAACTTCAGATTACTAAAAACTGACAGATCTAAGCGAACGCTATAACAAACCTATACTTACTTGAATAATTGGACGGCCCATTTCCAGTGGTCGTGCTGGTCTAAGCACAACCTCCGTTCTTCGGAGTTTTGCTGGTTTAGCCATGGTGTTTCCCTGGAGTCCCGAGGTGAGCCTGGCCAAGGTTCGACCCAGGTCGTTACCACTACAGGCAGTCGCCGCCCTTGTGGACCACAGAAAGGTTTGCCACCATGCGGCTAGTTTGATACCAGGACGGTGGTGGATCCTGATATTGGCTTACTCCAAGCCAGGCTTCCTGATGGAAACGCCGGACACCTTCTCAGCTTGGAAAAACCTGCTGGGGGATGAATCCCCCGCTGTACATCGCAGTCCGACACCCAGGAACATCTACTAGCCACGGTAAGCCAGTAAACCATTAGGAGAATGACAAAACTGTAGTATTGTCAAAATAATTAACCTACGCTTTCTTTCATTATCACCTGTATCACCTCAAGTGACTTTATCGTCCAGTAACTCGAGCGGGTGCCAGTAAATCTTCCATTTCTCCCTGCAGCATGCAAGAATAGCCCAGTGGGTTCTGTTTGCTCTAGCGACTCGTTGAGCATCCTATCTTTCTTCTAGGCTTCTCGTGAAGAACTCTGACAATCGGGTCTTCCTGCAGTGAGAAAGTAACAGCATACCTATCGATCCTACTCGTAAAACGATAGTACAATGCCTCTTCTCCAATACTGTCAGGTTTAAATCTTTCCAAGCCCTCTAGCTATTGAGGAAAGAATTTTCATTTTCAAAAAACCACAAACCCACACCCAACAGCAAGTGCTTGTATTCTTCTGGGCCACCCGTAAAAAACGACGCAGGTGCGGAATGGGTTAAAATAAACCTAGAGTGCGGTAAAGAACAGACCCTAACCTGCTCACATTTCAAACCTAGAATTTGTCCACACACTTATTTGACTGTTTATATCAGAGACCATAACTTATATCGACACAGCAGCACGAGCAGCATGGCAAAAATCACACAACATTACACGCTACGGTAAAACTACAGTAGCAGCTACAAAATCATTGCACAACCTAACGTGCTCACTCAAAACGAGGTTTGTTCTAGAAACTATCGAGCAGTTAATCACGTAGTTCAGAAACAAAGAGTGATAAACCAAGAAAATTAATTAGGCGTACTATGAACAACATGGACGCCTGCAGCGCAGTTTTGGGAGGTGCCCTGCAACACACACCAGCAATTGATCTACGCGCCCGTGGCCCACCGAGTCTTCCTCTGTCCGCAGATTGGTACCAGACTTGTCTGGGAGGATAGCAGTGCTTGCACGATACATTGGTAGGCCAACGCTAGTCATTGGAAAGGCCAGATATGCACTCAGTCACCTTTAGCGATGTTCAATAAAGTCGAATGCATGGCGCATCCTTCAGAGATTGGTCAACCCCGGAAGCTTTATCCTTTTTAACTATGGTTAATTTAAAACTTTGCATACCACGTTACAAAGAATTCTCTGAAGATATCCATGTCCAATTACCTGTGAGTGCACATGATTCAATACGAAACTCTAAAAATCACAACAACTTTTACACGCGAATGTTAGTTGTCTGAACATCTGGTTTACGTAAGCACTGTTAACAACATTGCCTCAAATCAGACAATAATGCCACCGTCGAAGAAAAAGTAAACCCTACATGGAGAAAAGACCAACCGAGTCGTCCATCTCCATACTGCGCTAAAATGTGAGTAATCGCTTGCAAAATATACATACCTGGGTGGTCAGCTGCCGTGGAATAGTTCCTGCTAGTTGAGTCTCCACAACCGATGGGGTTGAGACGTTCACCAACATGAATGGCGGCAGTTGTGAAATACGCGCCACAACAAAAAAAAAACAAAAAAATGTGCCTTTTTGAACTCCAGAGAACAAGGATTTGACCTTGGTGTATGGTAAGAAAAACTTTAAAAATCCTGCACCTGGTTTCCAAGAAACCCTAAATCCTGCATGTCCTTTATTTGAATCAATAAGACCCACCATAAGGTAAGACGTATTCACGTAAATTTGACATCGACCTGTGTTTTTGTCTCGCTAACATCGAAGTCAATTCACATCGTCGCGAATGTGTTTAATTAAATCTCAACTACTAACCTTATTTCTTTCCTTCAATTCAGCCATTGCTCGTGACTGTTCCCCATCAGCTAACGTATCTAGAAGATGGTCCACTACCTGAAATGCATCATTTCAATGAGTAAAGTCCTAGTATAAAAGAAGTCAAATACTTCTAACCTTTATAAAACGAGCCCCTGCGTTGCTAACCATACCCCCTCAGCGACATGACATCAGCCACAGTGTTTCGACCGCCTGAATATTAACCTCTGAAATAATCAGCTTCATCTACGCGCACCTATGCCTTTTTAAAAACAGCATCATACAAGTTGAATATATTAAAATGTTTCACAAGATCATTTGTCCTCCTAAAAAAAACTAAACAGAATTACTAATTTAAGACGAAATAGTCTACATTGTCTAAAAGAAGACCAACAATAACGATAAATTTTATTTAAGGAGACGCAAATGAAAACTAGACACAATTGTAATTCCAAAGACTCTTTCGACAGATATTGCTAAAAAAAGTTCTACCCACCTAAGGAGAAGATCTGAGTTTTCTTTCGTTGATGTGGCCCAAGTTGAGTTATGCTATGAGGCAAACCAGGCGAAAGGCCCATAGTTAAGAAACGTTGTCAAAGACTAACCGGAAAACCTGCAAGAGGAGATTCAAAGTAAAGGAGATTGTGGAACTAGAGTAGCATAACTGCACTCTCTCTGTTTTTGGAGACCTACGACTATTCATAAAGGCGCGTGTAGTGCAGTGGCTGGAAGCGCCACTACGACACACACGTGGAATCGATCCCAGCGCCCATGGCCCACCAAGCCTACCATCCCTCCGGGCTCGGCTAATTGGTACCAGACTTGTAATATTTTTATAATATAATATAAATATATCATATATAATATAATAGTTTTTATAATATAATATTATAATATAATATAAACGAAATAGTAATATTTTTATAATATGATACGTTCAAGGATTACAACTGATAACCTACTACGAGTGTTGATATAAGAAAACAACGATGAAAATGAGCAAGTTATAAGAACAACGAACGACCTTCTAACGCTCCTTATTATACAAGAACGCTAATTTGGCGTTTAGTATACAAACTGATAACCTCAACCGAGTTTCACGATCTGCAGCAAATAAACAATCCTCCCTGGACGTTTCGTCTACTAAAGCCTGACGTCGACGATCATCCTATTTAACTGCCTCCACCGCTAAAGAAGCAAGACCTGCTTTTTCCAGTGATATCTTTAAAGAAAAATTATTTGAACGATGAAGTGTAATACAACCACAAGATTGCTAAGATATTTGCAAAATTACGGACTGCAGGTGTCTGCGGTAGGAAACGAACTTGCTATTGACCTTTCCGGGGTGTAACGCGTTCCCCACCACACCATGCAGGTCCTTCGTTTCGCCTGTTTCTCAGCTAGTCCTTTCGAAAATCTTAGCTATCGAAAATAATAAAAGGCAGGAAATAAAAAGTAAACATTGTGAATTCAACTGCACCCTCAGCTTAACTGGGTTCAATGCCGATGTGGGCTCTGCAAACTGGTACCTGACTTGTCTGGAAGGATAGTAGCAGTGGCTCGATACATCGGTAGGCCATCGCGAGACATTTTAAAGCCCAGATATGCATTAAATCTCCTCCAAGGATGCTCAATGAGCTTGAATGCATGGCCCACCCCCCAGGAATTGATAAATACCGGCAGTTTTACTCATTTTTTATTACACATACATATGCATATACATAAACATGTATACATATGCTCAAATGGGACACGGGAATGAACCCATGCTTGTTGCAGGGCGGCTCTAAAGACTGTGCTACGCGCACCTTTATTTATATGTATAGGTGCATATGTGTACATATATATACATGTTTATATATATATATATATATATATATATATATATATATGTATACATATCCATGGTGGTCTGTCATCAGAGATCTCGAGCCAGTTTGTCGCGAAGCTAGGTGGCGCGCCCCCAAGTGGCGGATATGAGGTTAATCGTTAAATCGTAATCGTTATTATTGAGGTTAAAAGCGACCATATGTTTCCCTGAGACGCAGTTGGTTCCAGAGGTTGGACTCCTGTTTCTGCTGCTCCGATCTGGCATATACTTCCTGTATTTACGTGGCGTATTCATGCATAAAGTGGTGCATGTGCCGCAGTGGTTAGAGGCGCCACTGCGACACATGTGTAATCGATCCCTGCGCCCGTGGCTCACCAAGCCTTCCAACCCTCGGGGTGGCCAAATTGGTACCAAACTTGTCTGAGAGGATAGTAGCGCACTGGCACGATGCATCAGTAGGCCATCGTAAGTCATTGTAAAGGCCAGATATGCATTCAATCACCTCCGACGATACTGAATGAAATCGAATGCATGGCGCATCCCTCAGGGATTGATCAACGAGCTTTATCCTCTTTTTCATTAATATATGCGTGTGTGGGTGCGTTCAAGTTCACGCAGATTGTATTCTATGAATCAATTTGGCAAAAAGTGACAGGAAAATATATGGCAGGCGGTTGGGACCCGCCGCCAACAAATAAGCTCTATGTCCACTCTAGCACAGACTGGCGAGCTATCCGTAAGTATCATATATATCGCCAGCCTCACGTTCAGAGCCAACCAAGCTATACGCGGCTATCAAAAGCTAAACACAGTAAAATAAACAGGTCTAATTCCTCTGATAAGCACCCAATACCGCAACGCTAAGTAGGATGGGTACGGAGGGGCTGGTAAAATCTTGAGGCCCATGCAACCTGCCTGGATCGCGAAGAAGTAAGGTGGTGATCTGTATCTCCCATGCACGTACATTCGCATCCGATTCCTCAACAGAAGACTTGCTCATGCAAGCAAGAAAGATAAAGTACGACGTCATCGGCTAGCCCGAGACGAGAAGACGCCAGCCTTTCAACGCCCTCTATGACACAGGAGAAGAACTGTTCATCGGAACATGTGACAGTAGAGGAGTCGGCGGAGCCGGCGTTCTCGTCAACACAAGCTTGTCCATGAACATTGACTCATTCGAACAACTTACAGCCCGAATCGGACGTTTACTATTAAAATGACGTGGATCAATTCCGGGTTTGACAATCTTCGTCGTTTATGTTCCGACATCAAACTATGACGAAGAAGAAGTCGAAGCCTTCTATATGGACTTGAAGCACTTCTACAGAGAAGACCATACATTCTTCAAGGTCATCATTGTAGACTTCAACGCTAACATTGGACCAAGAAGAAAGTATGAAGGACGTCACATTGGGACCCACGGACTAGAATGAAACGAAAAGGGTGAGCGGCTATCTGAGTTTATCATGGCGACGAAGACAATCCATGGTAACTCGCAATTCCAAAAGCCTCACCCTCAACACTGGCCGTGGTAATCCCCCAGTGAAGAGTACCATAACGGAATAGACCATATCATAGTAAACCGAAGGTCTTACCTAACGGATTTTGCTGCTGTCCCAAAATTCCACACGGGATCAGACCACTATCTCCTTGGTTCTCGATTCCATTCACCGCAGAAAGGAAAAACGCCGCTAAATTCAAGAAACGAAGTGCTAAAATCACTATAAACTGGAAATTATGCAACTCGCTTGTCGGTTGTTGGAAAGATACCGTTGTCGATAACATCGACGAAGAATACGATCGGCTCATTGAACATCTTCACGTTAGCGCTGTGAAACCTGAGAGCTCGAAATTCACCAAGAGACATCTTTCTCGAGAAACTCTTGAGCGAATACGCCAGCGTGCAATCGCACGAGCTGCAGACAATCGCGAACCAACGTCCGAACTTGCAAAACAGTGCAGAGAGGCGATAAAAAAAGATCTTAAGGAGTGAAGAGCAGCAGTAATGGCCCAAAATGCAGAGGCTGGGTAAGGCATTCGCAGAGCCCACCGAAGCGTTGCCAGTTACAAGACTAGGAAGGTTGCACTCCGACGACCAGACGGAACAGCTACAGCGTCCACAAAAGCAATTCAGAAAATCATTCAAGAACACTACTCTAATCTCTTCGATAGTCGCGCTCACCTTCCATATCACCGATTCCTCCTTCCGAAACCCGACATGCCGTTTCGTCGGTGAAAAATCGAATAGCACCAGGTCCGGACAGGATAAGACCAGAACACCTGACGAACCTTCCTCCAGTCCTCTTAAACACACTGACACGGCTCTTCACACGTTACCTGTCTGAATGCAAGGTCCTTACTTAGTGGATGACCAGCAAGACCGTGTTATTGTTTAAGAAAGGTAGCCTACACGATATAGGCAACTATCAGCCAATCTGCTTGCTGTCTGCCGTCTACAAACTTTTCACTCGAATCTTCTTAAACAAGATTGTCAGAACACTGGACGAAGGACAGCCATGTGAGCAAGCAGTATTTCGAAAAAGATTTAGTACGATGGACCACATCCACACAATAACAAGACTCACTGAAGTATCGCGAGAGTATAAAAGGCCACTCTGCCTCATCTTCATCAATTTGAAGAAGGTCTTTGACTCAAATGAGATAGAAGCAGCCTTGGAAGCCCTTGATAGTCAAGGAGTCCCTAGTCAGTATACAAAGATTCTTCGTGAGCTGTACAGAAATTTCACAGCCAAGATATCACCATTCTACAACGATACTGACATCGACGTCAGAAGATTGGTTAGGCAAGGCGATAGCATCTCGCCAAAATTATTTACCGCCACCCTCCAGAACGTCATGCTAACTTTGGGATGGGATAATATAAGAGTGAAAATCGATGGTCGGCAGTTACCCCATATTGGCTTTGCCGATGACATCGTCCTTATAACAGCAAACATTAGCCAAGCGGAACGCATGCTTGCCGATTTTGTTAAAGCCTGTGGAAAGACTGGTCTTCGGCTAAATCTCACAAAAACGATGTTCAGGAGGAACGGATTGGTTTCGTATGCCCCATTCACGTTTAACAGATCGAATATCTCCGAATGCTCCAGTTACGTCTACCTAGGTAGGGAAATTAACATCATGAACGACTTCGATCCAGAGTTGAGCAGAAGGAAACGAGTGCCTTGGGAAGCTTTCATGAGCACCGAGGATTTAGTGAAGAAAGCAAAGAACACTCGACTCCGTGCCCACCTTTTCAACTCAACAGTAATTTTTGCGTTGACGTGTGTTAGAAACCTGGTCGCTGCATCAACAGGATGAAATCACTCAGCGTTATCAAACGCGCTGTGGAAAGGACAATGTTAGTAGTATCCCGTTTCACACAAATAAGGTAAGGGATCCGAACCTCCGTCCTGCATCAAGATCAAAAATCAAGGATGACGTTCTGTAAGCCAAACAGTCGAAGATAAGGTGGGCTGGACACCTAATGCGTATGAATGACAATCGATGGTCAACAGCCGTTAATAACTGGATTCATCGGGATGTTAAAAGCACTGCAGGAAGACCACAGACTCAATGGTCAGAGTTCTTTAGGAGAAGCCTAGAAGAAAGATATGATGCTCGACGAGTCTCTCGTGCTAGCAGAACCCACTGGGCACGCGACAGGGAAAAGTGGAAGATTTGCTGGCGCCCGCTCGAGTCACTCGACGATCAACGGGACTACAGGTGATACAGGTGATCCGGGAATTTAAACCGCACATTATCACCTGAAAATTATTATATGCCATGGTGGAGCGATAAGCAATTAATAGATGAGCTATCCTTTACCCATTCAAAAAGTGTCCATAATTTTGTGTGAAATTTTTGCACACCATGTTTATTCAACATGAATATATCTAATTGATGTTATACATAGGCAAACAGAAAAGCGCGAAAAACCACAATGACAATGATTGAGCCCTTACTAAGTTTAGACTGATGCCAATCGTCTCGGGCGGATAAGAGTTTGACCCCATACGGGACTTGGCCAGCCTCTTACCTCAACGGAGTCACGAAATTCATGCCAGATTTGTGTGGGAAAATTTTATACCTAGCAATCCTGTGGAAAAACTCAAGCCCTTCTGTTTCAGGATTCGAGAGCGAATCGCTTCGAACGGTAATCAACGAGAGTAATGAGGAAAGAAAATTGTCAAAGAGCAATCGAAGCCGCATGCCAAAGTGGGTGCACCTTCGTGGACGGATGTGAGGAATGATTCGGACGCAAATAGTGGTCGGATTCGCATAATGTGATAAGTGCGATGTCTGCTCATGCAATAATAATATTTATTACCAGTGATAACATACACACTACGACAATCAGCCGCTTCGAAAGAATAAAAGTCGGAAACAATAAGAAACAAGAGCACAAAATGAAAACATCATGTCGATTAGGAGAAAAAAGATCAGGTAATCGACAATGACAAAAGAGAAGATCAAATACAGGAAGGCAACCATAGAAGTCTCAGCTAAATCACTGGCAAATGAATGGTAGGATAAACAGTGCACGAGAGTAGGTGCGATGGATGGATCGTTGCCAATGGTCTCGCCCCACAGTGGCCACAGACAAAAAACAAACCGAATCATCAAAAAAAAAAATCAGCGAAAAAGTGCACTGTGCAACCAAACAATACTAAAATGGTCCATAGCGATTGACCATGATCACATGGTTGATCGATGAGTGGACAATGGACCATGATTTGGGATTCCTGGGACACATTGTGATATGATGTTTTTAAAATAAAGGTAACTGTAATCCGAATTTTGTTCATCTGAATGAAGAACGACAAAAAGGAAACCCGAAACACACAAAGGGAAACAGCACGACATAACGGCACGTACACGTCACTAAATTATCATATCCCGAAAGTTAAACCATTGTCACTTTAAACTTTCAAACTTTAAACAGAATGGAGATAGATAGTAATTTGTGTTGACGGACGGATCTAACACAGTTAACTTAACAAGACGAGATAATAACGTCCTCATGTACAAGGTATTGCATGGTCCAGTGGATCTTGAAAATGAAATGGATGATCAGAAAGATATCACAGACTGGTGTCTATGTTGCAAATCGTTTCAAAAGTTTGAATATTACTCAACAGTAATACCGCAGCAATGAAAACCTCCAAACTGAAGGTGTACTGTTTGGTTCAATGAAGTCAAAACGACACATGAAACGTCGTATACCAATATTTCCAGTGAAACATCATCTCCGAAAACATCAGCAAAATTTTTACTAACAAGATTGCTAACAAAACTACTTGATGTGCGCGAATTCTTCAGAAAACAAAGTAGAATGAATATTCAGAAGCAGAATGGAGTTAAGTAATTAAATAACCACGTTTAGTATGAGGAACTGCATATGTTCATGAAATTGCCAAAAAAAAAACTTTAGAAAAAAAACAAGAACAACTGAACGAGTTTAAAAACGCGGAGCAGATTTAAACTTCTAGCTAATCGCGCTCACTATGATTAACAGAAAAATTGCACGGAAATATACAATAATAATATAAAATCATAGAAAAGCTGTAGTCCATTGTTTGAGACGATCGTAGGTGGCAGAAGCATCCTCAATGCTAGTGCAAGTCGTTTTCTAAAAATCGAGTAAAAGTGGATAGAGGTAACAGGTAATAACAAACAGTTCCTTGTAGATGAAATAGTTGGGGTACATAAGCAACACCGCTATCAACTGGAATCCAGATGATCACCGATAACTTGAATGAACGTCATTACTTTCTTCGCTTTTATAGGGAGCTAAAGGTGCTTGAGGTCGACTAAGGTCACAGGAAGCACACAAAAAGCACCATAATGTTCCTTATGCTATCCGTCATTTTTACTTAATGGAAAGACAAAAACTCCTTGGTAAATTGCTAAGCTCCACGGTGGGTGCTAGAAGTGCTCGTAAGTTCTACGGGTGAAGATGTTGGGCGTATTTATTGGAGTTGACCCATAACCGTTTGTGCATATCCCAGCTTCCATGGTATTTGCTGGAACCATATTATCTGTCCCTCAGGGTCAGTAAACGAAATGCGTTTAAAATTTCGAGGCCCGTAATCCAAGCAAGATGAAACAACATCCTCACCCAAAACACTTCAGCTAGACATGTAGTAAGTCACGCTAAGCGATAGAGCACAAGAAAGAACAGCTCAAAATATGAAAACCATTTAAAAGGTTAGGAAAGCTTCTCGCTTTAAAAAAAAAAACAAGTACAAATATTTCAATGCCCAAGCGTACTAACCGTAATTAACCAAAAGTTATTCACATATGTTTCCATTTGGATTTCCCGGCCACTACTGCTCCTGCTCTTTGGTAGGAACAAAATGAACAAGGAACCTACACAACAACGCCTTTTAAATTGGTCGTGGAACAAGGTTTGCGTCTTAATAAAGCAAGTAGGTAATGGAGAATAAAAGGCGGAAAAAGTTCAAAAAAAATGCCTACCATAAGCGATTTGATGAACCTCTCCATTCTGTAAATGAGGAATTGTCCAAAAAGAATATACGCCTGAAAAAAACTGATTACAACACTTCACATAAAAATATTTGCAGTAGAAAACCACTTAGTATTCCAGGGTTGACCTTATCGTATACAAGATCTACGATGATTTTACAGCGCTTGTGAGCGAATCTTGCAATTGCTGAAATTGGCTTGCCACGGATTGGCTCATTCACGAACTCGCGGCGCTTCACAGACGGAGACATCCTCTGAGAAAGCAGGAAATGTTCAGTGCTAACAGAAATAAACGATCACTCATAAATTCTCGAGTTCTACGTAAAATATAGCACTAAGATGGAATGTCTAACTCAAAAGTTTTTCAGCATATTGAAATCTTCTTCAAGCGTTACATAATCTGGAATAGTCAACTAGAACAATTCAGCATGATATTAAAAAAATTCATAAAATTTTATTTAAGTATGTTATAGTAGAAAAGCTGGTCGCTCTGGATTACCAGATAGATCGCTACACAATGGCAACAAGCTACTGCGTAACGAAAACGGGTATTCATAAAAGAAAGGAGAACTCGAAGATGCTCAAGCTTCTGGCTGAGGTATATTTAACACAAAAACTTCACTTCTGCATACCACATAATTTCAGCTTTATATATGACAACAAGCCTCAAAAGTTGTACGCCTCACAATAATGAACTATGTTGATTCCAACCAGTAGGACAACAAATCGCGCCAATCGCCTCAATCCTAGAGGAATCCAGGTCTCTTTTAAATTCACATGAACGGCGATCGCCACTGACAAAGAGCTGTGAACGCTCTAGCAGGATTATCATGGAAATTCAGAAAAAAAAACCTAACACTTACTATGTCAGTGACAGAAAACGGCAAATCATCATGGCGAAGCCGAACCCAACCAACTACATCCCCACCACAACTCGTCATCTAACACGTCAGTTATATCCATAGGACAATTGTAGTATCGAGAAGGACTACAAGACATGCATATAATATTGATGCCTACTGTCTATTTGCAGACAGACCGCGATCACACTGGCAACGTTATCGTTTTAAAGAACTAGTTGATTGCATAACATCAGCATTAATAGTATAATGTACGGATATCATACGATGTCGATTTCAAAGACGAGTTTCACTAACAACCAGCACTTCAGATTAGGGCCTCGAGTTACTTTTGTGTGTATCTGGCCAATTAATGAACTTACTTACTTGGATACCTGGACGGCCTATCCTCAATGGTTTTGCGGGTCACAGCATATTCTCCATTTTTCGGAGTTTTGCCGGTTTAGGCATTGTGTTCACCTGAAATCCCTGGTCAGCCTGGCCAATGTCTGCCACAGGTCGACACCACCATAAACAGTCGCTGACCTTGTGGATCAGACGGAGATTTGCCACCATGCAACTAGCTTGATACCAAGACAGTGGTAGACAATGGTACTGGTTTGATCTTAGCTGGGCTACCTGGTTGAAACGCTGGACTCCTTTTCAGCTTCGGAAACCCTGCCGGGGAGACCAATCTCCCCGCTGTACATCCCAGCCCGAAACCCTGCCACGATGAGGCGATAAAGTGTTGGGAAGTTCTTAATGAGTAATTAAAGAACATATGTACAAATAAGCCCCAATCTCCCTCGTATTTCGTATCCAACGGATGAATTCCTCGTCGAAGAGTGCCACTGGGCGAACAGGTCAGCACACCTCGTACAGCTCCCTGAAAATACTTCAAATGCATAACTGTGTCTGCAGTAAAGAAATTAACACATTCGTTGCAACTCTCAAATTTTTGTGCCAAACACATGGAACCGCGTATATATCTCCTCCACCTGCTCTGCTTGTCGAAATCAATGCAGGCCAGGCATTCTTTGTGTTGTTCTGGTAGAGACTGGCTTAGTGCTAAAGAAATGGGAAGCTGTACCAGTCTTTCAAGAAACCAACAAAACATTGTTATTCCTAATTCGTCATGAAACATGCTAAGCTGGTATCAGGTGCACTTGGTGCACCACGAGACGCGCCGTTATGCAAGAACTATAAAATCTTTGTAAATAGTGTTTAGCGTCAGGTTCGTTGTAGATTGTGGAATAAATGTTTCTATGAACAGCGTTCTCCACGAAATTACCGCATGATTGTGATAGAAAGCCTTCAAAACACGCAAATGTTTTAAACCCGACCTTTCTGAGCGCCTATCCTTTCCAAAACCATTCGCTCTGATGGTGACTAGTACACATCTATGGTAGCACTAGATACCCTACATGTATGACCAGCGATTTCTCAATTGGTCACAGCGATAAAATGTCTGAGTTTTAAATTATCCTTACAGATAACGTGCGAGTTCCACGAACGGAATTGTTATTGATTCCACGAACGTGTGGAGCAAGGCGTGAGCGACGCTGTTCTAAACATGTCCACGTAAACATAGGCGCATCATAAACTTCGATCAATGTAACAAAAAGAAAAACAAGCTACCAATTCGCTCTTGATGACTTCTCAAGACCGGAACGCGTTCGGTACTGGGTGGAGCGGTGTCCCAAGGATGGCCTGTGCCTATCGATCCTCTTCCCTGAAAAATGAATCCATTCATTACGTGTAGAAACTCCTCACTGGGGGAATACAATCTGATAGGCTCTGAACGACGCATACGTAGTTATTGTCAGTATTGGACAGCAATGGTAATTATACTGATTCGAACTACGACCAGTGCGAGAAGCCGCTTCGCAACCGCGCGCTAGCCATCGGTGACTTAGAGCAGATTTACTTAATCCTCTCCAGGATTTAAAAGAAGCTGTCTTCTGAATTGTCTAAACATTTCGACATCTCTGTGGGCCGGATTACTTGCTTTTTTTCACAAAGATGCTGATTTTGCAAGTAAACAGTAGCACGTAGTTGTTTTCTTTTGGCTTGCTACGTTCTCCTTACTCTTTTCTGTAGAAGCGCTTTCTTTCCATTTTCCTTCCTGTATTTTTTCTTAATATCCTAGTTACACATAAGTAAAACCAAGCACTTTTCTATGGTAAAGAATTCTGACGCTACAACCACAATTACGCTGAGATATTTGCAAAACTCTGGACCGCAAATGTCTTAGGTGGGGATCGAACACGGTATTACCGTCTCCGGGGCCAAGGTGTTCGCCACCACACCAGACGATACCTTTCGTTTCGTTTTTCTCTCAGTCGCGTCCTAACCTATAGGTGATATCAGCAATCGACCTTCAACGGGATGGATCTTGGGAGCACAATTCGACATTGAACTCTGTTAATCAGAGGCTCCTCCCAACGGTTTACTGCCTCATCGTGGCTGGGAGGTGTTCCTGTTGTGTGTCGTGTTGTGATGTGCAGCGGGAAGATTCATCCCCTTATCAGGTTCTCACAAGCTGAGAAGGAGTCCGACATCCCCAACAGGAAGCCTAGTTAAAAGCAAGTCAGTACCAGGATCCACCACCGTCCTGATATCAAATTGGTGGTATGGTGGCAAATCTCCTTTTGATCCACAGGGACTGCGATTCCTTGTGGTGATGGTGACCTGATGCAAGCTTTGGTCAGGCTGACCTCGGGACTCCAGGAAACCGCAACGGCTAAACCACAAATCTTCCGAAAAAATGGAGATTATGCTGAGGCCCGCACAATCAGTGAAGACGGGCTAACCAAGTATCCGAGTAAGTAATCTGAGGCTGCTGTTGAAATCACAATGTTGACCTTTCAATTTACTGCCTACCTACTACAGTTGTTAACGGCAGGGTATTGTGTGAAAAGTTCTGGAAACTTAAAAAAAACACAGGAGTCGTCTACATCGTCTTCAGCATGCCGATAGAGTTCACAAACAAAACAAGGCGGCACAATAGGAGCGAAATCGAATATGAATACAGAATCCTCGTCTAATAGTACAGTACCACGTTGCGGACTACCCCCACTACCTATCCCAATACTTAGCGGCCATATATGGGAATGTGAAAATTTTTGGGAGCTCTTCAAATCAAATAATCATTCCCAAAATATACCAGAGCTCCGCAAATTCAATTGCCTGCTGAACGCGCTGAAGGGGAAGGCCCTAGAGGCAGTTAAGAAATTTCGACTTACAAACCGAAACAAACCGAAAGTACACTAAAGCAATTGAATTCTTGACTAAGAAACACAAAGATCCAGAAGTACTCATAGTAAAACTCATGGAGAAATTGGATAAATGTCAACTCCGATCTCCTACAGCATGCGAGCAACGAGAGATGTTCGAACACTTACAGTTAATAATAACGAAGGTCGTAACAAAAGGAGAGAACCTAGAAAATCTGTGCGTGTTTAGAAAAGTGCGCAGTAAATCTCCAGACAAAACACAACGGGAATTCATCGCGAGAAAACAGACGGCCGTGGTGGAGAACGCTTTCCACATGAAGGAATTCCTGCAATTTCTTGAACAGGTTCTCTAAAGAAGAGAAAATAGCGCAATATATGGAAGCTAACAAGCCAGCTTTAAAGGAGCCCAGTGAACCGGAGAACAAAAACAAATCAAAGAACTCTGCGCAGTCATCAAGTTTCTACACGCCTTCGTGCATGTACTGCAAACGCAGCCACAAGTCGTTTAACTACAACAAGTACAAGACGCCATACGAGAGATCGCAATATTTACGAACAGAAAAATTGTGTGCTATTTGTGCATCTCCACAGCACAGCACTGGCCAGTGGAAGAAAGCCTCCTGCTTGAAATATCAGAGGCTCCACCATTCATTGTGTTGCATTCAGTCAACATCAAAGCAAATAAAGGAACACTCTGAAAAAAAGAGTCAAACCGGCAAGCGACTCGAAAAACACTAAGTCTAGCAATAAACACATTAACACAATTCCGAAAGTTAATTACTGTTCTCTGAACCAAGAAGCTCAAGAAGAGATAAACGTCTTAGAAGCACATTTTGAAGAACACAAGGAAAATCCACACACAACCGTGCTACCTACAGGAGAAATCATAGTGAGAGATTCTGTTTCAGGAGATTGTCAGGAAATTCAAGTCTTGCCAGATACGAGCGCTTAACTCTCATTTATCGACACAGCATTAGCAACGAAACTCAACTTTCCCATCTTAGCAGAAATAAGGCTATGAAAACGAACATTTGGCTCCAGAAGTTTAAAAGAGCATTTTTTGAACAAGGTCTCACTCACAGCGTGAGATGCGGAAGGTCATGTCCTGTCCTCCGTACTTTCATGCATAATAATTTAACAATAACGTGCAGTAGCAAGCTAATGTCCACTGAAGGC